TTCACGGTCTTGGGAAGCGTGCCTCCGTCGTCACGGGCAGATGTGTGACCCCCTCCATGCTCACCGTCAGAAGGAAACGTTGAGAATGTGCAAAACCCCCGATAACTTCGGGGAATTGTCACTTCCCCCGAACCCCCAGATACTGCATCTGGTTAGAAATTGTCCGATAGCCGCCTTCATCCCCCGGCCAGCACCGCAGTGAGGACAGAGGCTGGGACGCCGTGATGAGCTCCGAGGAAGCCGCTAGAAAGAGGCAGAGCTGGGATCTGAGGTCGTCACAGCCCCGACTCTCCCCCACATGACACTCCACCGGGCACCGGAAAGGCAGAGGCGCTGGGAATAGTCAGGTCGTGGCGGTGCTCATAGAACTTGTCATGGTTTCCCATGACGCCCCAATAAAACGTGAGTTCTCACGGGGCCCTCGCTGGTCCAGCCTTACCATCTGCCACACTCAGCCCACCCCTGGTCCTGGCACACAGAGCGTCGGGACCTGGGTGCCTGATGTTCTGCCTCACGGCGTCCATGGCAGTGGGCACCCTGCCTTTCCCAGGGAGGGTTAGGAAGTAGCTGCTACACAGCTGCTTTGAGCTGCACCCCAAAGACAGAACCCTCCTCACCCCCCTCCACCAAGAGCCTGGAGGGAAGAATTTGTCCCCAAAGACAGTGGCTCAGAGACCCCAACTCAGAGCCCCTCCTCTCGGATTGTGGAGCAGATAACACTAAATCCAGACCCAGGGGCCTGCCGCAGGGAGAGCACCCCAGGCAGCCCTTCCCATGGGCGGCGGCCGCGGCTGCAGAACCGTGCCTGGTGCGGGCTGCACCCAGGAGAGGGCAGCGAGGCCGGTCAGCTCGCTCAGGGCCCCGTACTTCCTCCCGGGCGCCGACAGCCGCCAGAGCTGACTTCGCTCTGCGGCAGGACCAACTGGCAGCTACGGCTGCGCCCTGTGCTCGGGGTCTCATAGTCGGGCCCTCACCTTGTCGAATTTGCAGGCCTGGCGGCTGAAAGCAATTTCCGGACTATGGCTATGACAGCTGCTGTGGGGAGCAGTCATTGCTGCGGTCGCGCTACCCTCCTTTCTCGGATCACTTTCCGTGTGATCTGTTCGCAAGTTCTGTTCCTGTGAATAGTAAGGCAACACAACCTGCAGTCACCTAACCGAACGCATTGAGACGTGAAACGGCCGGACGGTGGGGAACGTGGAAATATTCTTATTTGTGGCAGACGTGGAAGGAATGCTTTTTAAAGCCCCCGACCTCTTGAGGTTGAATGAAATATGGGTAATTTTTCTTGGCGGGGATCAATAGAATAACTATTTCCAAAATGACTTTCTATTGACTGAAAGGTCAAAAATGCCGTGTGCATTGATCCTGAGTCCATAATCGCTTTGGGTTTGGTAAGTTAGCTCCTCTCCTAGTCGGCTGCAAAGAAAACCAGTTCATCATTTAAACGAACTATTTCTACAGCACCTGAGGCCCCGGCGGCCGCCCCGCGGGCGGGGGTCTCACGGGGCCTCTCTCTGCAGGAGGTGGACCTGTACCGCGCCAACAGCCAGGACAAGCTGGGCCTCACGGTGTGCTACCGCACGGACGACGAGGACGACCTGGGCATCTATATCAGCGAGGTAGGAGGGCAGCTCTTCACAGCCACCACATCGGGACCAAGAGAGGGGGTTTTTCTTTCTTTCATGTGGTAACCAGCCCTAACTCTGCCTCACTGAGTCCCTTGGAAAGACACAGACATGCTTCTCTGTCCCTTTCATCACACCCCATGGAGCCCCATCTTTCCTGGGGTTATGTTCGACTGTCGGCACAGACGGCGACATTGCCCCGGGGAAGCCTGCAGACCGGCCATAAGATGGTTGTGTGTGCTCCACCCTGAGGGAGCGGCCGACGCTCATTTCCAGTCTCGTGTTCTGGGCCAGTGGGATCCCTCCCACTGCCACGTGTTTCTCTGTCTCTCTCCTTCCTTTGGGTGGAATGTGTGTAGTCGGAGTCATCTAAGTTGCATGGACTTCAGAGCAGGTAGGCAGAAGCTGTTTGATCTTCTAGGGCAGTGGTCAGCAAACTCATTAGTCAACAGAGCCAAATATCAACAGTACAACGATTGAAATTTCTTTTGAGAGCCAGATTTTTTAAACTTAAACTATATAGGTAGGTACATTGTTATTAACTTAATTAGGGTACTCCAAAGGCTTAGGAAGAGCCACACTCAAGGGGCCAAAGAGCCGCATGGGCTCGCGAGCCGCAGTTTGCCAACCTCGGTTCTAGAGAAGACTGCACAGCTAGTGACCCCAGCACGGATGTCAGGAGCTCACGTCTGCAAGCACGGAAACCGTTCTGTCGGGAACGGAACTTGTCTCGATGGCATGAGCATGGGTGTGTGGGTCCGGCTCAGTAACCTTCCCTCTGAGTTCATGTTCTCCATCGCACGCTCCAGTGGGCCCATCGGCACTGCCATCAGGGTCTCTTTCCCACAGTCAGTCCTCGTGTCTCAAGTACACTTCAGGCTTTGTTTTGTTTTGTGGGGGGGGTTTGTTTTGTTTTTAATATATTTTTATTGATTTCAGAGAGGAGGGGAGCTGGAGAGAGAGATAGAAACACCAATGATGAGAGAGAATCATTGATCAGCAGCCTCCTGCACGCCCCCCCCACCCCCACCACCACCACCAGGGATGGAGCCTGCAACCCGGGCATGCACCCTTGACTGGAATTGAACCCGGGACCCTTCAGTCCACAGGCCGACGCTCTATTCACTTAGCCAAACCACTTCAGTTTTAAAGTTAATTTTTCAAAATTTATTAGAAACATTTGGTAAAATAATCGAGGCACGGTTGCTAGTCACCGTAGTGATTTTCATTTCTCTGCAGCAAGAGTCCGCTGTGCCTCACGTCTCCAAGGCCGGCAGGGCCAGGACACGGGGCTGTGGGACAGGGTTGCCAGGCAGGGACCGGAGGACACGCCCTGGAAAGTGCTTGGAGACGTGGACCAACCCATGTTTGCTCCCTTGCATCACGCGGGTCCTGTGTAGGCACAGGCCTGGCTGTGTCAGCGCCCGCCTTTGGGCCATTGTGTACGTGTGCGTTGCACTATCCGCCTGGTGCTGACATGGTCACTGTTTTTTCCAGATCGACCCCAACAGCATCGCGGCCCAGGACGGGCGCATCCGAGAAGGCGACCGCATCATCCAGGTAGGTCGGCCTCGCCCCTGCCCTTCTGTGAAGATCAAACTGGTTGTAGTGACAGCTCAGGGTTAAAGAATGAGGGCCACAAACCAGGGGTGTAGGGAGGCCAGACGCGTTAACTTAGTGGGTGAAGCCCAGCCCTGGACAGTAAGTGCACAGGGAGTGGTGAGGACAGAGACAGTGGGGACAGGGCACCCCATCAAGAGGGCAGCGCCCCACACCCCGGCAGGAGCTAGCTCACTTCCTGCTCTGAGCTACTGTGCTTAGATCTGTCGTGACATTCCTCACCGTGAGTGATTTTGTCATTTTCCACTGCTTATTCGACATTCCTTCAACCCAAGACTTCAACCCAAACCTCGGCTGCTCAGGGACCCCCATCTTGTGGAGTGCCCCCAGACCTTCAGGACGGCTCAGCCTTCCTGTGGTTGCTGTGGGCTTCCAACAGCGTCTGCCACCTAGCATGGCCCCCTCCTCTCAGCCACCCCATTTCTCCTTGGTAACCGAGATCCATCACCCCAGTCAGCCCTCCACGGGCCTGTTGGGCACAGGCGTAAGGAGTTGGTGGGAGGCTCAGTGGGACCAGCCATGTCCCCTGGAGGAATCGCCCACCCTGGGGCTGACACCTCCAGACCAGCAGAGCCCCAAATTCTGAGGACAAGAAGCCGAACTCCTGCGGGAGGGTGACCAGGGGTGATGGTGAGAGAGCCCCTCCCACTGACCGTCTGCCCTGCCTGAGGCTGGGACCCAGACCCCCTTTACAATCCCATTTCCTTCTCTGCCCTCAGCTTCCATAATGTTCCCATCAGACCTGCCACGGCTGCTTCTCCCGTGTTACCCTAAAACACCTGTAATAACCCTTCATGCTTCCCTTGTACTCCTGCCCGAGTCTCACGTCTGAGTCAGTTGCTCACCTGTTCCTCTTCACACACTCCGTTCACACGGCCTCCACAGTGCCCCGGCCTTGGACACCGGGGCTCCGTCCCTGGCCAGCGCTGCATGCGTCCCGGCACGGCCCCCTGACAATTGAGCATTCTCTGCAAGCTCCGCAGACCTTCCATGTCCTCGCCCCAAACGGGTAACAGCTAGAGCAGTGCAGCGTGATTCTGCGCGACCTACTTCTGCGTTTGTCCACCCGTCACCTTCTTTTCTCTTTTTTTAAGATTAACGGGATAGAGGTACGGAACCACGAAGAGGCTGTGGCCCTTCTAACCAGTGAAGAAAACAAGAACTTCTCCTTGCTCATCGCGAGGCCCGAGCTCCAGGTGAGTCCACTTCCTGGGCCTGTATTTCTAAACCCGGAGTCCCTGTCCCTGCAGAACACGGCCCCGGTATCAGGTCCGAGCGTGAAGACCCTGTGCCCGGGAAAGGTAGTCTCACTGTGAGTTCAGGATCTGTTGGACGTGTCCGCCGCTGAAGGAGGGTGCTGGCAGCCACCCGGGCAATTCCACTGCGGGCCCGGCAGGCGCCTTAACGCAGGGATTGGAAAAGGGAGAAGAGGAAAACGTGGAATGGAAAACACCAGGGTCACGACCTTCAAGATGTTAGAGGTCAAGACCTGACCAAGTTCCCAGCCTAGCGCTGTGTCTCACTCACAACTGCAGGGGGAGCACCGCATGGGCCTGGATTTGTGATACTGCCCTGACGCCTGGAAATGGGCCGAGAGAGTCGATTGCAGGTGCTCTTACCACACAAAAAAGGGACTGTGAGGTGACGTTAATTAGCTTGACTACTGTAATGATTTTAGTACGTTGATCAAATCATGATGTCTGCCTTAAACAGAACAGTTTCTATTTTATTTTATTTTTTAATGACTCACCACACCAAGGTGATTCCTTGTCCAAGGGGCTTAATGTGGCCTCTTTAGGGAATGAGCAAATTGGAATAAACTCTGGCTTCAGGGTGTCAGCAGAGAAGGTGATGCTTAAAGTCCTTTGCCTTCCTTTGGCTGCCTACACAAAATAATGAGAGAGAGAGAGGGGGAGAGACGCATTGGTCAACAGACTTTTTATTAAAACAAACACAAAAGGCCAGATTTGGCACATGGGCTGCCGATCAAGGGCCCCTGAAGAGTCTGCTCTTCCTGGACAAGAAAGAGGGGGGGCCCTGCTGCTTGTATGGGGCCGGCCCTGCACCTCGGCCTGAAAGTAGCTGATGTGAGAGAAGGGGTTCCACCCTGCAAAATGAAACGGCAGACACTGGGGACCCACCCCCCACCCCCCAGACAAGGGGTGAGGCAGGGCGTTTCCTGGAATATAGCAAAGAACAGGCAGACTGCCCTGGGAATGTTTTTCCCCGAGGAAATGTCTTTTCTTTAAAAATATGAATGAGTTACATGAGAGCAAGAGCACTCTCCTCAGAGGCGTGTGCTGGCTGCCGCTTTTCCCCAGCTGGACGAGGGCTGGATGGACGACGACCGGAACGACTTTCTGGACGACCTGCACATGGACATGCTGGAGGAGCAGCACCACCAGGCCATGCAGTTCACCGCCAGCGCGCTGCAGCAGGTAAGGCCCCACTGCCCTCGCTGTCCTTGCCAGGCCACGCTCCGCCCTCGCCAGGCCACGGCCATCCATCTCCGCTTAGCCCAGCCCTCGCCAGGCCACGCCCCGCCCTCGCCAGGCCACGGCCATCCATCTCCGCCTAGCCCCGCCCTCTCCAGGCCACGCCCAGCCCCCGCCAGGCCACGCCCAGCCATCACCGCCTAGCCCAGCCCTTGCTAGCCTTGCGGGCCGCCCAGCTGCAGGAAACCGCTTCCTGTCTCCCTTAGAAGCTTAACTAAGGACCATGGGAGACCCCACCTGGAAGGCAGCAGGGACACCATGCTAGTCCTTCTGGCCTGAGAGAAGCGCTGCCCTGCACTCAGAGAACTGGGGAGGGACCGCTGACCTTCCACGTTGGCAGGGAAAACACCTGTGGGGGCGGCGTTGATGTAGAGCAGAGACATGGTCACGTTTTCAAAAGTGCAGCCCTTCCCCGTTTAACCTGAGCTGCCCCTGTGCCATCTATACCACCACCACTGTCCTCCACGCCCCACTGACCGGGAGCCAAAGGTGGCCCTGTGCTCTGGGTCATGCATCCAGGCCAGGCGACGGTCACCTCACTTTTCCGGTGGCATCAGTGGTCGCCCAGGTGGGTCTGGCTAATGCCCAGGCCCGGTCTTAGTCCTCACCTGTGCCGAGTGGTGGAGGCCCCCCCGCTGCAGAGCCTTGTCCTGCAGGAAGAGGTCACAGGTAGCGGCACCCAGGCCTCTCGCCGTGACCGGAGGTTCTTGTTTTGTGCAGAAGAAGCATGAGGAAGACGGGGGGACCACGGACACCGCGACCATCCTGTCCAACCAGCACGAGAAGGACAGCGGCGTGGGCCGCACTGACGAGAGCACGCGCAATGACGAGAGCTCGGAGCAGGAGAACAACGGCGACGAGGCGGCCGCGCTGGCCGGGCAGAGGACACGCACGGGCAGCCAGGACACGCTGGGCAGCGGCGACCTGCCCTTCAGCGGAGACTCCTTGCTCTGGGCCGACTGCGCAGACGCAGACGATGCGGAGTGTGAGAGCTTCCGCCAGCTGCTGGAGCTCAAGTGCCCGGGGCGCGGCGCCCCCGAGAGCACCGACGGGGAGCTGGGGCTGCTGGACGCGGAGCTGCTGGAGCTCCGGTGCCCGGCGCGGGGCGCGGGCAGGGGCGCCCCCGAGAGCGTGGACAGGGAGCTGGAGCTGCTCAACGCCGAGCTGCGCAGCATCGAGCTCGAATGTCTGAGCGTCGTGCGCGCGCACAGGGCTCGGCAGCTGCGTGAGGCCTGGACGCTGCACCCCGGTGGCTTCCGCGGCTGCGACACGGAGGCGGACGGACGCCGTCACGAGCTCTCCGACATCACCGAGCTCCCCGAGAAGTCAGACAAGGACAGCTCAAGCGCCTACAACACCGGGGAGAGCTGCCGGAGCACCCCGCTCGCCCTGGACATGTCCCCCGACAGCTCCTTGAGAAGAGGGGCCGAGGCGACCACAGGGGCCTGCGGGCCATCGCCAGAGAGTCCACTCTGCATCACGGAGGAGGCAGACCTGCATGGGGCCTCGCAGAGCCCTGAGCGCAGCCCAGGGGATGGCCCAAGCCCCGCACCCCCGACGCACGCGCCCCACAAGCTGGCCCACATCCCGGCGCACGCGCGGCGCTACCGCAGCTACATGCAGCTGGTGCAGCAGAAGTCGGCTGTGGAGTACGCGCACAGCCAGGTGAGCCTGCTGGGGGTGTGCAAGGACCTGGGCCCCGCCGGCCCACCTGAGCCCCGCACAGAGTGGAAGGTGAAGGTGCGCAGCGATGGCTCTCGCTACATCACCAAGAGGCCAGTGCGCGACCGCCTGCTGCGGGAGCGCGCGCTGCGGATCCGCGAGGAGCGCAGTGGGGTCACCACGGACGACGATGCAGCCAGCGACATGAAGCTGGGCCGCTACTGGAGCCGCGAGGAGCGCAAGCAGCACGTGGCGCGCGCCCGGGAGCAGAGGCGGCGGCGCGCGCTCCTGCTGCAGAGCCGGCTGGACGGCCCCCGGGAGCAGCCCGCCGACGAGGACAGGAGGGAGGTGAGCATCCTTGAGTTGAGCCACAAGAAGATGATGAAGAGGAGGAACAAGAAGATTCTGGATAACTGGATGACGATCCAGGAGCTCCTGACCCACGGCACCAAGTCCCCGGATGGCACTAGAGTGTACAACTCCTTCCTCTCGGTGACTACTGTCTGAGCCTCATGTATATAGACAGCACTACCGTTGGGGTAGAAAACCCTGCCTCGTTCAATGCGGCAAGTCTCTGTATGTAAGATAACAAGGTCGTGTTTATAGTCCACTCTGCACTTCCGGGGGCAGGGCTCTATTTTAAGTGGAGAAAAGCCCCCCGGGACTATCTTGGGAGGCAGTATTGACAACCAGGGCCTTTCTCAGATATCGAGGGTACTTTTTTACTTTGTTACCTTTTACGTAAAGTGTTTAAATTTCAAAAAGATCTTTTTAAGCATACTTTCACAGGATAATGTCTTTAAACTATATTCATACGGAAAAAGTTACACGTGCTTTCTTTCCTGCCGAAAATACAACTCCCATTATGTATTTCTAATGGATCCCTATTTTATAATGTTACTTTCCTGAACGTGTTTCCTATGAGTGACCATTAATATATTATTTAGGTCAGGGCTTCAGCTCAAAACCACCAAACCGGTTCATGATTGACTACACATAACCAAACCAGCCGTGTTTAAACATATGTTTCAACTGTAAACATGTTTCTGGTTAAAGTTCCCAAGCGAGCGTAAAGGTGTAAGCAGAAAGCTAAGTATTGTGCCGCTTTATGGAAGATTAGAGCATGTTTGCAAATATTGCAGCCGGTGGGGAGAATGTGCTCCCACAGGGGGTCGCGGATGGAGACGGTGTGTGGACTTTCTAAGTGCGCTCCTCGCAGACCTTTTTCTGTGTAGGTTTGAAGGGACAGACTCTTTACAGGCAAGTTCACAAAGTCATGATTACTACTCACCAACATCAAGGAAAATGAAGTTGAAATAAATTATTTTCTATTTGATATGTTTTGAAGTGATTTCTCATTTTTGAAGTGGTGCCTCTAAAATAAAAGCCCTTTGCAGTGTTGATTTTTTTCCCTTCATTGTATTGCCTGCTGCTTCTCAGATCATTAAACCCTTCCTTCTGCCTGGAAACAAAAGGCCGATATAAAACCAAGGTCTGTCGGCGAAAAGTAAGGAGTCAAACTCACGGTGTAGCCCTGCTTGCCGGCAGTCTGTCTCGTGGAAAGCCTCCACCTGGCCCCATCTCCTACAAACAGGAATAACTATGAACACGTTTAGAGGTCAGGGTCATGCTCATGATGAAACCTCTGGTGGGCTGCCACCATCCCTGCCTGGCGGTGGTCATTCACGTCGGCGGCAAGGAGGCCCCCCTTCCCATTTCCAAGGTGCGTCTGAAAATCACACAACATTTCCATAGGAGGGCCAGGGTCACCAAAGTGGGTGGGCTTCAACACCGCTATCTTTCCAGTTCCTACATCATCAATGAGCTATGCCTTGCTCCCTGGCTGCAATGCTCACCACAATTCCAGCTGTGGCACCTACTGAGAAGACAAAAAATAGAGACTGGGTGACGAGGGGCATCCTTTGCCACGATGCCACGCATCTCTGGCATAGATTCCTCCCAAACTCCTATTCCAACCCAAACTCCTCTCCTTTGGGGCCAAGGAGCCTCCTCGTCACACTGGCAATAGAACCACTTGGTGAAGATAAGGCACTGGAATACTCACGCTCACAGTGAAGCCGTCCGCCCATCACTTCTTCCAGAACCGGCCCTGCAGAGGTAATCCATTACCTGCTCAGCCCTCCAGAGAGCAGCTCCCGCAGCTGGAGTGCCAGGCCTGGTTTCCACGTCTCCAGGTGAGCCTCCAGCAGCAGCGCCCTCCCAGCCTCTTGGCGCATGCCCTGTCTCCCAGGGAACAGACACCCCTCAGATGAACGATAAAGCGCTGCCAGGCACATAGTGGGTCTTTAGGGAAATAGCTTTGCTCCCCTCCTGCTCTCATTAAAGATGGGGGAGGGGTACACGGCCGGAAGAACACAGCTCCCGCCTCACGAGCAGGCAGCTTCAGGGTCAAGCAGAGGAGCTGCTCCCCAGCGCTCCCCGTGAGCCTCTGGGTGAGGGGGTCCCCTGTGCCGCTCGTGACGGAGTAGAGGGAGATAAAACCAACATACGTGTCCGTCCAAGGCCAGATTCTCCCGCTCCAACTTGTTTTTAAATCCCTTTATCATGTAACTAATGTTTGGTCGTAATTTGCAATGCAATGCGAGGGTTCCCCCGCCCCCAATCTAATTTAGCAAATCAACTTCTGAAAGAAATAGGAAGAGACCTCAGAAATCATCATTTTATGAATAACAGGAAACTCTAGGAGACTAAGAAATGTGGCTCCTTAATGAGC